AGGTGTTTAGAGTTACGTCGTTGATTCAGATGGTTAGGTTAATAGCTTGTTTAGAGAACCTTTTCATGATATGCTAATTTTTTAGGACAGGCATTTTGGGTTTTCATGAGCTGTATGCCATAATCATCAGTATTAAAACAATTAAAGACCTGAAATATTTCAGTTGGTGTGCAATGAATCTGAAATATATGAAAGTTTCATTTTTATCATTACATTATGGAAAATAATGACCTTTATCACAATATGCTAATTTTTTTAGAAGGACCTGTATATATTTTACCGCCACATTAGATTTATTGTTCTGAATAAAGTTATACAAGGCTATAGTCTATGCTAGGTTATCTAAACGTTAGCTTGCTAACTTTAGAAGCACGTAGCTAATAACAAGGTGGCGGATTGAAGATAATTTTTTGATTTATTTTACAGATCATTTAAAATAAATTTACCATGTTCTGTTCAGCAAAATATGCTACACAGTATTGCTTCCTGCTTCGTCTGCTGAATGTGAATGTGAAAGTGAAACTTGAATCAACGGTCTTGACTTGAAAGTAGTTTTCATGCACCCTCTGCTGGATACATTGAACAATTACGGCTGGTTCCAGCATTTTAGGGGTGAAAATTAAAAGTACTTTTATCGGTGGATAATGGGACCTTTATTGCCGATAAGATATGTCTTCAAACGTCTGTCAGCCTAAATTATCGGCCCTACCGACATATCGGTCAGGCTCTACTGTAAATGGTCAACACGAGTCTGATGGAGGTTGCATTTCTTTGACAACGTGAACCACCATGCAAAAAAAATCTGATTTGAGCAAAAATATCAGAATTGAGCATTATGATCAGCAGTGTGGAAGTAATGCACTTTGTATGTAAAACTGTACATTTCAACAGATTTTGTATGAAATCTTTAAAAAATTCTAGCAAGATTGTAAATATTACACTCATAACGATTACCCTTTTCACCTAAAAACCAAACGCTCACTGGCTAAAATGTTTTCTTTTTTCTTCTTGTTGCAGAACAGGGTTATTAAGGGCGTGTACCCTGTCAGCCCTTCCTCCTGGCTCTTTGTTGCTATAGGAATCCTGGCCACCATGTACATGCAGTCGGACCCCAGCATGGGGCTCATTGCCAAGATACAGCAGCATCTTCCACTCAGGTACACAGTCAGGATTGATGTATTTTATGGTTTTACCAGCTTTACAACCCATTTTCCATAATGTTGGAGGGAAAAGATTCTTTCTGCACGAGTTTGGTGGTCAACAGGCAGATATGGTGCCTTATTGCTTTTTTGAAGTTTCAGTTCTGCTTAAGAACATACTTTAATGGGGTAACTTATGACTTAAAAGTCCAATCACAATATATATGGTTTTCTGATGGTAAAGCACTCACATTTTTTATGGGGACTGCTTTGAAAGGCAGCCACTTTATTATCCACCTGAAAAGAGTCTTTTCTTCCTTCAAGGCCCGAACCGCTATCTATACCCTCACAAATGTTATATCAAAGCGACCGGCTCAGCATCATGATGTGTGCCGTTACTTTTATTTGCATTTCAAGTTACCATGGCAACATAATTTACAAACAAAGAAGCCATTTTTCTCATTGAAACAGCTTCTAACTACCCCAGCTCATGAACAGCTTG